AGATGCTGATGCTTTCGTTTTATTATTTCATCCCCAAATCAAAATTAATTAACACTTCTGTGGCTGTTTCTTATTTGTGCTTGTTCAAGTTACTGTTACAAATACTATTTTGACTACAGAGTAACACAGATAAGTTGTGCCTTTTTTTCCCCAATTAGTGTTGAACCATTCATGCTTCAGTTGCTTTCAAAAAGTAAACTCAGTGGAGGTTTTGGTGGTTTTTTTTCCCATTACTTTAGGTAGCATGATACTGTTTGATCCAATGCTTTTCTCATTCATTCCTAACTAAGACTCTGTATGCTGATGTGATGTGTAGTGCCTGCCTAGAATTCCTTTTCTTTTCCTCCTTGAAAATAACTCAAACAGAATGTTGCAAAAGCAGAGTCTTCTTCTCCCAGGCAATAGCTGACAACGTGGCTATTCTGAAAACCACAGAAGGGTATTTCTGTGTTTGAACTTTTAAACTCCTTTAAACTTAACTCAATTTGAAGAAGAGCTGGACGGTCTAGTTATGTGGCATGGTTTATTAGAGTTGAAAGCAGAGAGGATTTCGTACCATTTATGTATTGGGAAAGGTTGTTTATTACTGATGTTGCTTCTTACGGGGCTAAAAGTATTACTGCATTTAAGGCCAGGAAAAGTTATTTCCTTGGAATGTGTTGGCAGGATGCAGCAGTAGGGAAACTGAGACCAGGAAGTACATTTCAACATTTGTTAGGGATGTATTGCGTAGCAAAATTTCTGAAACTCCCAAGCAAGAGATTGTTTTATTAAAATCACTTTCAGTATGAAAAGACCTAGGCAGTTATCTAAGTACATTAAAAAAACCCAAACCACTAATTTTTCCTTAGACCACCCACTTGCAGACCAAAACTCTATAAGCTGGAGTAGCGTGTCCAGTTGCAGGCTCCTCAGTACCAGAGAGACACGGACATACTGGAGAGAGTCCAGTGATGGGACACAAGGATGATTAAGGAACTGGAGTATCTCCCATGTGAGGAAAGGCTGAGAGAGCTGGAACTGCTCAGCATTGAGAAAAAAAGGCTCAGAGGGGATCTTGTTCATGTATCTAAATACCTGAAAAGAGGGTGCAAAGAGGACTGGGCTCATCTCAGTTGTGCCCAGTGAGAGGAGCAGAGGCAGTGGGAAGAAACAGAAACACAGGAGGTTCCCTCTGAACATCAGGAAACACTTTTTCACTGTGAGGATGACCGAGCAGTGGCACAGGCTGCCCAGGGAGGTTTTGGAATCTCCATGCTTGCAGATACTCAAAAGCCTTCTGGATGTGGTCCTGGGCAACTGGCTCTTGGTGGCCCTGGTTGAGCAAGGGAGTTGGACCAGATGACCTCTAGAACCTTGACCATTCTGTCACTCTGTGACTTTTCAGTTCAGAAATTGCAATGTTGGAATATGTGATCTATTCAAAATACAGCTTCCTCTTAGTTTTTACTATGTCAATGTTGGTGGTCCCTTAACAAGTGGTTGTTATTGAGCCTTGAATGTTAGACTAATCTTTTGTGCAGTCTTTGGATGTTTGGTGATGTTCTTAAGATGATACACTGCTATGAGTTATATTTTTCATTGTATTTTTCTTTCTAAAACTAGAATTGTTTTTTTAATGAAGTAATCATATTAGCAACAATTCCTTTATGAAGACTTCCAGTTCTGACTTTTCCTAAAACTGTAGTCTCTAGAGAATATGAAGCTTTGTGGATTTTTTTTTCCCCTGTCTTGAAGCCACCTTGAAGTCTGTGCAAGCTGTTGAAATAAGACAAACAAGCAGTTCCTTCCTTTAGTAAGGAAAAGTGATTAAACAGAATTATAATTATTGCTGTTTAGACTAATTTATTCTTGGGGTTTTTTGTGTATATGCAGAGCACAAAGTAATCATAGTGGGACTTGATAATGCTGGAAAGACTACTATTCTTTACCAATTGTAAGTACACAAACTACTTTGGTTTTCTGTTTACATTTTAGTATTTGTCACTGTTTAATCATTGAAAATTCAGCTTTGCGACCTGGCGGAATCTCTAGGGATCTAGATTACAGTTTGGATATTAATGGTATTAGCTGTTCTAAACAGATTAAATATTTAAAGGATTAAGTGAAGAAACTATAGTGTTTTAAAACTGAACCGTAAATTAAATAAAAAAACTGTATGTACAAGCACAAAGTGAATTGCAAATTTTTGCCATCAAAGCCTATCTTTATTTTTAAGCATAGAAATAATCCTGTCGCCAAGAACTGCAGAGAAGGAAGTGATTTCTAAATTAATGGAAATTCTAGCCACTCTGCAAAAATCCATAAATGTTTCTTGATTTCAGCATCTAAAATTTATGATGGAGGATTCCTCAAGGCAGTATTTCATCTTGCCTAGGTACTACCTTCAGCGTTTTCAATAGCATCATTGGATCCAAATCTTGCCAGCATTGCAAGAATATATATCATAAATTCAAGAATATCAGCAGGAACAGAATTAATTATTGTAATTGTGGAAAAGGAGAAGGGTGTAGCCAAATGACTATGCATGTAGTTGGCTAGGAAGGCAGCACAGGATGTTTTCCAAAAAAAACCTGTTCCTAAGCACTTCTGACAAAGCTTAGAGGTAGAACTGAGAAATTTTCAGCTATGTAAACAAACACTCCTTAGTAGTTTGTTTTAATATCGAATTACTAAGTTGAGTGCTCTGAAAAAAATATATTCTGATTTATATTTTGCACAGGTTAGTGTTCTCTTATTTGGGATCTTTAGAATAGCAGCTTCTACTTCAAAACAAGTGCATTTTAATTATCTGTTAAAGAGTGTTCTTTAAAAAGAGAAGCCTATTAAAATGCTGATTCTTATCCATTTTTTATGGCTTTGTTGTTGTTGTCTTTAAGCATGTTTATAGTCTCTGCTACAAAAGCAAGTCAACCACAGTTTTTAGTCCAAGCTGGGATCGATCTAATCTTTTTACTAAAGAACTGTTCTTAAATATTTGCTTTATTTCTATAAGAATTCGAATGCATAGCTTTTTAAAATACACCCAGTTTTTCTAATTTTTTTTTTATCAAAGTTACACATTTTGTACACTTTTTCTACAATAAATTTATTGTAATTGAGCTCTGACAAGCCTTGTGGATTTTACTGCCTGGTCTTTATAATGTGATATTGTTTCCTTTAGCTTGATGAATGAAGTGGTTCACACTTCTCCAACCATAGGAAGCAATGTAGAAGAAATAGTGGTGAAAAACACTCATTTCTTAATGTGGGATATTGGAGGACAAGAGTCATTACGGTCATCGTGGAATACCTATTATTCAAACACAGAGGTATGAGAAGCTGCTTTGAAATCTGAAAATTCAATATGTTTGTTTGAAATTGTATTTATTTATTTATTAGGAGTATTGGTAGATTTTTATGAAGATTGTAACTGTATTGTCTTTAAATTGCTTTGAGCAAGAGCAAACCCAAAAAGTGTAAGGTGTCTCTGGTATGCAGCCAATTTTCTGGCAATATTTGAAGTATTACTTTACAGTAATGTTGTTTGATCTGTGGTATAAACTATGAGGTTAGACTTTTTTCCTGTACAATTAAATGATATCAAAATACACTTCAGATCAAATGGGGTTTTTGCATGTTTTTTCAAGTAGATGAAAAAGAAAATTTTACAATATACTTTGCAGATTCAGTGGGGGCTTGCAGTAGTTAACCTAACTTCTGTACATCTGCTCTGAAATGTTTTTGAGGTAACAATAATTACAGGTGAGGGTTGAAGCTTTCTCTAAGCAGCTGTAATTAAAAAGCTTGCTCATCAGCTTGTGACTTCTACCCAACAGATAAAGGACAGTCTAGCTGTGCAGTACTCATAAGATAACTGGTAAAGCTGCCATCGCTGGAAAGGTTAGAGTAGAACTCAGCAACAAGTTGTCTTTTGGGGTTTCTTTTTGATGCCAAAAGGTTATCAACACAACATATAACCTACATAGATGTAGAAGATTTTAGATTTCATTTTATTACCATTTCTACTAAAAATAGGGATCTCTTGTAGATCCTACTCATTATGTAGGCATTCCATCCTCCTGTAACATGAAGTTTTCTGCCCGATGCCCCCCTTTGAGAGAGAAGAGGTTAGAATGTTCAGAAACTCTTTATCTACTGAAAGCCTGGGGATGACATTTCAGCTTTCATCTCTAGTAATTTAAAGTTAGTTCTAATTTTATCTAGAAAAGTATGACTGCATCTAAGCCACATATGCATGAGGGTGAAGAGACTTATGCCAGCATTATCTGGTACAACAGCAGTAAGTTCTTGATGTGTCCATTGAGAATCTTTGATTTTGGAATTTGGGGAGATGCTCGTGTTAGTTCTTTTTTTGGTCCTTTTGGGATGCTCTTCGTCACATTCTGGTTAGTAAGAGTCCTTTCTAGCACTTGGAAAGAATAACTTTCTCTTTACTTAGAAGCTTTGTCTGCTGTAAACAGTTGAGGAAGAAACGGGGTCTGTTTAGTATGCTAATCCTGCCCTCCCTGATATGAATAATTCCTTTACTGTTCCTCCTCATCTGCTAGACATCTCAAAGTCACAGCAGCATTAAATTGACTTGTTTTTCATACTTTGTGGACATTTTAAATGGGTGATGAATCTCCTTAATTTTATAAGGGAAAGTGATTTGGAGCATATGTTGGATAATTATAGCAGTGACTTCTAATCCTCCTTTTTTGTTACTCTCTCTCTTTTTTATATTTGCTTACTTGTAAATTGAAGCAATGTAAAAAAAAATCTTTCGAGTAATGTAAAAATCCCACAAATAAGCTTCCTAGTGCATACCTATCCTAATTAGTTTCAATTCAATATGGCTAATTCTGCAATTGTGTTTTAAGAGTGAGTGCAGAAAGGATGGTGAGACAGATTTACAGACGTAAGACCTGGGGGGAGAGGAAAGGAGAGGCAGCTCTCATGGTTAAGTTATCACGGGTGGGGGCAAACAAAAAGAGTTACAGTAAAAAAGGATGGAAAAGTATTCCCACCTGGGCAGAGGAGTAATGGAGTCTCTCAGATTAATCATAGAATCATAGAATCGTCTAGGTTGGAAGAGACCCTTGGGATCATCGAGTCCAACCATCAACTCTACAAAGTCCTCCCCTACACCATATCCCTCAGTGCCCCATCTAATAATGTCATCCCATTGGCTTTCTCTCCCGTGCAGCACATGTTCCCTGTAATGTAATTTTTTTTTTTTTTTGAGTATCTGTATAATTTTCATCAGAAAGTGTTTGATCTCCCTTGTGGTGGTTCCCACCTGTGACACTCTTGGCACTGCTTGGAGCACCCTGTGGGCAGGACAAGTGTTGAACACTGCTCCGTTGTTGTGGTTTGTGTACACACACTGTTACGTAATGCTTGCACACATTTACTTGAGTATTACCTTCTACATAACGCCACATCTTTTTCCTCTCTAGTGGCAGGCTACAAAATAGAACGTACAACACAAGGGGCAGAAAGAGAGTAATTTTCATTCCGATGACACTTGCTTCCCGTGGGAGACCTGCTGTCCCAGACCTAGCAGTGTCTCAGGATTCCCAAGTGCATGGGTGTGAGAAGAATGAAGCCTGGCAGAAACAGTGAGGGTAAAGTCACTGCTGGAGCAATCTCCAGGTGCCTCGCTGGAAGGGTGTGGAGGTTTTCAGTGAGAGGCCAACCGCACAGGTCCTCTGGGTTACAAAGGTTAAGGTGCTGTGGAACAACACAACCCAAAGCCCTACAGGTACATAGCATTCTGAGGGCTGATCTACTACTTTGAAATAACACGTCTTAAGCCCTGTGAGTAAGATGATGGTGAATTGCTAAAAATGCTTCTTTCAAAATAGGGAATTTTCATTTTCAGTTTTATAGTTTTCTGAACGTGCAAGTAGTAATGGACAGTAATAGCTGTTTTCATTGTAGCAAGTTTGTCATCCACATTTGAGATGAAATCCACTGTCTGTAGGTGCTTTTGGTACCTACGTCACTGTTTTCCTGATGGTGTAGGGCCTGAAAGTTCACCGAGGAGATTGAACCATAGTACAAGAAACTAGCAGTGCTGAAGTGTACAACCACAATGATTTTTTTTATTTATTTTTTTTAACTATAATCTTCATGTACGATTCCCAGGGCTCTAGGAAAAGACTGTAATAATAAACATCTTGTTCTGTTTTCTAGTGTACTCTGAAAGTCTGTGTCTCTCTTACACAGGAAGACTTGTGGTAGTGGTCTCTTGGAAAGATGCTTTCTGTAATTTATACTTTGTACTTACTTAGTGTCCTATTGTTTATTCCCCTAGTTCATCATTCTTGTTGTTGACAGCATTGACAGAGAGCGACTTTCTATTACAAAAGAAGAACTTTATAGAATGCTGGCTCATGAGGTATGTGGGGAGTTGGGATAATAGTTTTCTTTTGTTGTGAACAGTCAAATAACATTACGTGCTTCCTATGTTAACAAGAATTATACTGTCACTAAAAAATTTCTGAGGCTAAATGTGTGTGCATGCTGATCACATTTTAAAACCATGAAAATGATAAATGAACACAAAAATTATTATGAAGCACTTCTAATAGGGCTTGATTGATTGTAATCAAATCACTCTTTACTTTGCAAATGTTGAACTTGTAAGACATCTTAAACTTCATGTTAATGTAACTGGGTATTGTTCACCACCAATAACGCTCTTCTTTCAGTTAAATGTTTAAAATTTCAAGAAACCTTTTAATTTTTATTTTTCATCTTAGAAAGTAGGCAATTCAGTTTCTTTTTCTGGTTTGTTTTAATCCTATGTCTTAAAATTAAGGAGCATATATCATACTATGGATAAATTAGTTTTAGTTCAGTTTCCTTCTGAATTATTTTGTTTGTAGTTTTATTATTATATGTTGTATTAAGGACTGTTCAGGTCGCTCAACCACCCTAAATTAACATCTACATCGGATTACCTAAAGTATATTAAAACATTCTGTGATCATTCTCTTCCTTCATTTTTGAAGGACAAGGATTTAGTACAATACAATGCAAGTAATTCTGTTGAGTTCATTTCTCTGAGAGATCCGCGCTGTTTCAAATGATTGAGTTTTTACTTTACGGTTAATATTAATGTATTTTGGGTCTGGTAGTAAGGAGCAAATACACCACCAAGGTAGGTGGAAAGATGACTTTTTGTGGTGAAGTTTTCCCATGTAGTTTATTAGTTTCCAGTGTTATAAATCTCCTACAAGATTATGATCTACCATCTCTTGAAAACAGTTGGTAGGCCTAGACTGGACTACTTGTAGGAGTGAATTTTCAGCTTTAGAGCATAAGGATTTGTTTTGTTATGTGGTTTTTTTTTCTCTTCATGGATAAATAGTCTCACAATTTAATATACATTGAAATGTGTTGAACACTTTTAATTAGAGCTGTCAGCTTCCTGAATATTTCATTTGTTTACCCTTCTGCACCCCTAAAACCATACATCCCAGTTCTTGTCTCATTGCTGTGTGGAGTCTTAGTTTCCATACAGAAACAAAACAACTTTTTACGGGTTTCTGTTTTTACTAAAGCTGCTGCAGCTTTATTAGAGTCCCTTTTTAGGAACAATAGGATACAACTTAGAAGAGTTTAGATAGCTTTCTTAAACTGTTACTGCTTTAATCACTACAGAACTTGTGTAATGAAATTGCAAGTAATTTCAAGGGAATGATATTTAGCAGGCTTTTTCATTTGAATAGCATCTAATGTAGATTTTGGCATGTTTATCTAGTAATAATTTGCTGGCTGGATGTTTTGGAGCTTTATGAAATATATTTTAACAAGACTTTCATTAGTTCACATGAACACGTGGTCAATACCAAAAGGATAGTTGTATAATACATTATAATTTGATTGTGGTGGAGAACACTTCAGAATAAATTGGTTTCTTCAGTCTTTATGTAATTAATTTTTAATACCATAAGTCTGTTTAAACTGCATGCTGCTGTGTAATTGTAGATTAGCTTGAATATGGTTCTTTTAAGAAATTCAGTTAATGCAATAGCCTTTTAGTTCTTTATAATAACTATTATGAATACTGTAAATTACTTCTAGGATTTACGGAAGGCTGCAGTTCTCATCTTTGCAAACAAGCAGGACATGAAAGGTTGCATGACAGCTGCTGAGATATCTACATACCTCACCCTCAGCTCCATAAAGGACCACCCGTGGCACATTCAGTCCTGTTGTGCTTTGACAGGAGAAGGGTAAATGCTTATTACTTAGTATAGTAATACACAGTAGATGAGATTTAGAAGCCTGTTGACAGCTATGTGGATTTACAGGCAGAGGGATATTTTGAATTTCTCCTTTATTGAACTGAGTAGATTTCTTCATAGTTCAAACTCCAGGTTTGTGTGAAAGTCTTTCAGCGTATTGTTAAAAAACCCCAACAACCGAAATCCAAACAGCGCAAAAAACCACTTCCCCTCAAGTCTGTAGTTGTTGGCTCTGTGTGCTGCCCTCTCATTCTGTGTCTCTCTCTGTAGTTAAAGAAATAAGCTACCATCCTCTTCTGTTACGTTCTGATCTACTCTAAGCTACTAATGTCAGGAGGGTGGTGGGTGGGTTTGGTTTGGGGTTTTTTTTGTTTGTTTTTTTTTCATTTCAAACATTTCCATTCAAACATAGCTTTGATGAAAAGGTACATAGATCTGGCATAAAACAAAATTGTTACCAATAGTAAACTTTTTGTTTATATCTGGCTGATGTAGCTAATTTTGAAATTTGTATACCTTATGCCAGCGCTTACTAAAAGGGAACGCTGAGCTTTCCTTAGATCCTTTGACTATAAAGGTCAAAAAACATTTTTTGATGCCTGTAACAAGTTGGATCATGGATGCCCCATCCCTGGAAGTGTTCAAGGCCAGGCTGGATGGGGCTTTGCAAAACCCTGTCTAGTGGGAGGTGTCCCTGCCCATGGCAGAGGGGTTGGAACTAGAAGATCTTTAAGGTCCCTTCCAACCCAAACCATTCTATGGTTCTATTGAGAACTCGTTAAAAAAATAAATTCCAGAGTAGGTCACTGAGCTGAATGTTCTTTGGGAATATCTGATAGAAGTCTAAGGAGAATAGCCCTGTGTGAGCGAAGCCCTCTTGGATAGCTCAATCATGACTTACTTTACAAAGGTAAAGCTTAAAGTGGGTGTAAACTAGGTAATTAGATCCTTAGAAAATCAAAGAAAAGCCTGTCTTCTCAAATGGAGGACTTTTAAATAGAGATGTAAATTGAGTGAATAAGCAGATGAGATCCCAAGCAATCTTTTTGTTGAATATAAACACTTTTAATTTTGTGATGGGATTTTGGAATTCTTGATACACTGTCTTTTCATGAACAATTAGATCTGGGTAACCCGTCCTTTGTCTTCTAATATGGTATGTAAAAGTCTAGCTTTCAAGTGAGCAGTCTTTCATGGGAAGCCTGTAGAAAAAAGAAAAACTTAATGTGGTTCCATGTACTTAGAAGTAAGCATGTTAAGAACAGCCTGGTTTAGATTTACAAGGAAAAAAATTGAAGTAGTGCCAAGCTTCAATAAAATAGCATGCTTGACAATCTTCTTGTGGTTAAACCCTGAGTTAGTTTAAAACACTATTTACTCTGTTCAAGTTTCAGTCCCAATTCCAGCTGTTTGTTTTGTTTTTATTTTAAGTAGCTGTTTTTAAACATAAAAACAAGTAGAAAGTACTTTAAAGATGTTAGAATAGAACTGGTACCAATATATCATCTCTTATTTTTCAGATTGTGCCAAGGGTTGGAGTGGATGACCTCCCGTATTGGTGTGAGATAGCTTATTTTGTTGGGGTTTCTTTCCCCAAAAGAAGAGACTTCTATTTATCCTGTGAACATGTACATTTTTCCGTGCTCCCAGCTGCTAAGGCAGTGACCATGTTTAATTTATATCAGCCAACCCCCAAGCTGTACTTGAATCAAGCGCAGTTGAACTGAAACACAAAGTATTTTTCTTAACTTTTTTAATACACTAATCTTCAACTGGATGAACATATGTGCATCTGTTTTTAAGCATTGAAATTCCTCTGAATATGTACTCTAACTTTTTCATGACAGCTTTTTAAAATCCATTTTGTCATTGTCAATATTTCATACTTCCTCTTTCTAAATAGTTTATATAACTTACTAACATAAACGAGCGCAGTTTGTTTAATAATGAAAAAGTAGTGAGTAGGTGGACTTTACTCTGGCATAGCTTTAGCCTCTAAGGATAACCATATCTCCAGCTGGGCTTCCTGGAACATCAGCAGAGTTCTAGCCAGCATGTGAGTTAATAGTTATGAATGCAGATTTTTAAATGCTGAACGAGTTAGTTACAGTTAATATTGTGGTGGCTTTTAACCTGGTATATAATTGAACTTTTGCCTTAAAGCAAATCTCTTTCTTTCTCTCACTTTCTCTGGTAAGCAGTTCTAGGACATGATTCTTTTACTTGAAAATACATCTCTGTACAGTGGATAAATATTTTGTTATTAAGTGCTGGTTTAGTCATTTAGAACTTGAATACCTTTTGAAAAATAAACCTCTTGATAATTAAATTTGGAATCATGGCAGCCAGTGTTCAGTGTTATGTGTAGACTTGCTGTGCTCTTGATAATTAAATTTGGAATCATGGCAGTCAGTGTTATGTGTAGACTTGCTGTAATCTGTTACAATTTTAAATACTGTATACGTGAGCCTGCCTCACCTTTTAGTGAGAGTGCTGTTTTCTAAATGAATGCAAAATCCAAAGGGAAGCCAGTTTTATAAACAGAACAAAATCATGGTGCTTTCTCTGTTGACTTAAGAGTGAATGTAATCTTGACATTTACTTACCTATTATCAAATCTATTTTCGGGTTCTGTTGCAGAGAAAGTATTTTGCCTTAATTTTTGTCTTAAGTTTTAGTCTTATTTGCAGGAGCAGAGAACTTTTGATGGTGTTCAAGTTAAAGTAATTCGTCTGGAATTTAGGAACTGAAAGTTGAAAACGTAGAGAGCTTCCATTTGAAAAACAGGTGGTGAAAGATTGGACCAAGTAACTCTTAATTCAATTTGAAGGGGATAAAGTTAGATTTGTAAAGAAAATCCAAAGCTATGGATGAAGTTAATTGAGAATATTAGGCACCCAAAAAAAGCCAACCACCAAACGATCCCAAAAAATCTGCAAAGTATATTAAAAACAACAAAAAAACCAAAAAAACCCAAAAAAACCAAAAAAGAAAACAAAGACAACAGTGGACATCCAATTCCTAGTGAAATCTCAGCAGTGTTCAGGTTTCTAACCTACATAAATGCTTGGCAGGCTTTCCAAAAGCACCATTCTGCACTTTTGCATGCCTGAAAACCACGTGGAGTCTGGTTACTAGAACCATTTTGCTAATTGACTGTATGCCTTTAATGACAAAATGTTTTTCTTAAATCTTGTTTTGATAATTCAAGCACACAGAGTTTTCTTCAATAAAATTTTAAGTTTTGTAAATTTCAATTTGCTTCCATTTTTATTTGAACAAGGCTTAATGAAATTTTAAAAGTATCAGGAAATATGTTGTCGTAAGTTTTTAAAAGATGACTTTGAATACATGTGGAAACAGTGACTGGTTGAATGAAGTTGTGTATTAATGCTGGTTAGCAAAAGTCACATTTAGGAGAAAGATTATGTTCAGTGTCAGGTCCAAATGGTCAGAAAATAACTTAAATCAGTGTAAAGTAGTGCTTAAAGAAAAGAGAGCAATCTAAGGCAAGGTTAAGATGTGATACTAAAGCTTCTTGTTCCAATATTTGTGCTGACAACCCTTCTAAATGTGGGGGTCCCTTCACAGCAGGTGACCCCAGGCTGTGCCCTAGGTTTCCCACAGCAGAGTCTCAGGTGTTAGATTTTATAAAAAGAAGTCATTTAATGGAAAGGTGCAGCAGCAGGGTCAGCCTGGGCTGGGTGTCTCCGGAAAGGGAAGGACCTCAAAGAAAGGTCCTTCCTTGTGATCTCTACACCCCCCCTCACACGCTGTCCACGTGTCTTTTAGTCCAATGTGATTTTTGGTCTGGGAAAGAAGTCATTTAATGGAAAGGTGCAGCAGTCTGGATTTTAAAAGTATCAGGAAATATGTTGTCGTAAGTTTTTAAAAGATGACTTTGAATACATGTGGAAACAGTGACTGGTTGAATGAAGTTGTGTATTAATGCTGGTTAGCAAAAGTCACATTTAGGAGAAAGATTATGTTCAGTGTCAGGTCCAAATGGTCAGAAAATAACTTAAATCAGTGTAAAGTAGTGCTTAAAGAAAAGAGAGCAATCTAAGGCAAGGTTAAGATGTGATACTAAAGCTTCTTGTTCCAATATTCGTGCTGACAACCCTTCTAAATGTGTGGGTCCCTTCACAGCAGGTGACCCCAGGCTGTGCCCTAGGTTTCCCACAGCAGAGTCTCAGGTGTTAGATTTTATAAAAAGAAGTCATTTAATGGAAAGGTGCAGCAGCAGGGTCAGCCTGGGCTGGGTGTCTCCGGAAAGGGAAGGACCTCAAAGAAAGGTCCTTCCTTGTGATCTCTACACCCCCCCTCACACGCTGTCCACGTGTCTTTTAGTCCAATGTGATTTTTGGTCTGGGTTCTCTCTCTGTGCCCAGGCAGGCTGGCTGTTGACTGCTCTTATCTTGTTGATTTGCAATCTCTGCTGACAGCTGGAGCCTCCTTATCTTCTGGTTTATGATTCTCGTGCACCTGTGCTCACTGGCAGAACGTGGGGAACTGGAAAGGCCCAGGCTTAGGGAGAGCACTACCCAAACATCAGTGTGTTATCAACAGCTTTCTTATACCAAAGGACTAAACACTGCACTGTACCAAGGCTTCAGCAAATCTAGCTACTCAAGGTAAGTAAAACTTAGCAAACAGCATATATCAAACCATATTATAACACGAAGTAATTTATTCTAATGAAAACTTAGTTAATACCAAAGGACTAAACACTGCACTGTACCAGCTGCTGGGAAAATTACGAAGGAAATTATTGCAGCCTAAAGGCTTCAGCAAATCTAGCTACTCATGGTAAGTCAAACTCAGCAAACAGCATATATCAAACCATAATTTATTCTAATGAAAACTTTTTTAAGCTAAACAACTTATATCTTTCAACACCAGGTAACACCATTTGTAAACCTACAGTCTGATTACTAAATGCAGTCTCACCTGAGGTAACACGTCTGACTTTGAGGAGGAAAAGGTCAGATTAAAACATTCATTATTCTGATATTCTCTTTTAAGTCCTTAAAACTTAAGACCTTTGAGTACCTTTGCAGAAGAAAACGTTCTTGGTAATAGCTATGATTTTGATCGCCTTATTACTTCATTTTCTACAACAGCTTTCCATTTATAATATAGGTTTGTTCACAGCACTAATGCTGTGGTTTGTTGTTTGTCTTTTTTCTTAAAAGGCTTGGTACAGAATTTTTGGGGGGGAGTATTTTTAATCACCTTCAGAGCCTGTTAAACTTAAAAGTGGCTTGATTAAAGTAACTTTTACAATGGGCTGCTTTAGAACAATGCATATGTCTTTGCACTGCCAAGCACCACATTGTTTCTGTTAATCTGTATGTAGTAAATATATTGTTGGTAGATTTGCCCTTTGAAAATATTTGGCATTTAATAGACTGTTCACAAAGAACACTTAATCAGCTTCTCAGAGGAAATTACAAATGTCAGGAAAAATCTAGAAACATTCTCGAGTAAAATATCACAACCATTTTTCCCCTATGTAATCTGTTTTACCCAAAATACAGGATACTGTAATAAAGTCATTGATATGCGTGTTATAGTCTTATTTATAAAATCAGACCCATTGTGTTAAAATAATGTGTTATATTATGAGAGAAGTAGCTCAGATTTGTTCAGCAGCCTCTGTGAGCACACACCTTTGGGCAATTTTTGTCATGCTTGGATGAGGTTTGCAGGCTTCTAAGTTCTTTTGCTTAACTGAATTTGCTTAGTTTATTTGAAACGGGATTAAGTTTTACAATAAGACTTTCTCTTCCCCCTGCCCTGATGTGTTTGTAAGCTAACTGTTGTTACTAAGGAGATCCAGTAATAATTTTAATGTTTCCCTCCATTTTAATCATTTTAAGATTTAATAAAGCCTTATTGCATAAATAAGTACTAGAAAAATAGGCTGGCTAATTGAGTAGGGAGTGTACTGTCCTTCCTGTCTCTTTTGTCCAACTAACTTTTATCTGCTTCAATAATATATGGTAAGTGAAAACCATTTACTAAGGAAAAAAAATATATTTTGTGACCATTAAAAGTTGCTTTTTCTTTTGTACCTTTTAGCACATTAAGTGGGTCATTTGTGCTTGAGAAGAAAACGGTTTTCTTTCTTTACCCTACAGTCCACAGTTACTGTAGCTTGCAAATATTCAAGTGTTCTCTATTATAATTTCATATATTGAATTTTTGAGAAGCTCATTTCCTCTTCATAGTCTGAAATATCCTCTGCAAAACATACAATTTGAATTTTTTTCAGTTTTGAAAATAAAATTCTGCAGCCAAACTGGTAGTCGTTCCACCGTGTAAATATTGTAACAGACATCAAAATATGGTTTTGGGGTAGGGAAAAAGCGCTCTGATGAAAAATGATTTAGGTGTTTGATTTTTGTGCTCTTCAAGAAATTTTTCTAAGAGACCGTACTTTCATTTGTATTCTTTTTTTGTTGGAAAAAAAAAAAAAAGCCTTTGGACAAAACACGACTTGTAGACAAACATTTACAGACAGATCAATAATTTATATTGAGTTGTGAAAATGGGAGAGAGAGGAAAGTGCAGCCAGTTGAATTCCTGTTTTTCTGTTCAATCCCACCACTATTTCATAAGGATAGGCTTTAAACACTGGGTACTTCTTAGTTTAATTTTGACCTTCTTAATGTAACGTGTTTGGTTTTTTTTCCCCCAGCAATTCCAAAAATCTTCCCAAAGAATAGAGGATTTTGAAGGTGTTCTCAAAGCAGAGGGGCCAGAGCAGTGACCTAAGTGTGTGCCTCTATTTATGTGCTGGTACCTGGACGTGACGCATCTCTCGGGTAGGAATACATACACCTCCTGGGACACCAGGTATAAAGTTCCCTTCCTGAAACCATACTTTTTATCACTTTAAAAACAAACAAACAAAAAAATGAAATCCAGAAACCTCACACGATTGTTGGCTTTAGTTTCTTAATTTAATGGAAAAATACGCGCATGTTAAATGAAGAGAAAAATTTGTAGATAGAAGCAAACAAATTATGACCTTATCAACGCCTACAAGTATCTCAAGGGAGGGTTGAAGGAGGAGGGAGCCAGACTCTTTTCAGTGGTTCCCAGTGAGAGGACGAGGGGCAACGGGCACAAGTTGGAACAGAAGAGGTTCCACTCAAATATGAGGAGAAACTTCTTCACGGTGAAGAAGACAGGCTGCCCAGGGAGGGTGTGGAGTCCCCTTCCTTGGAGATTTTCAAGACCCGCCTGGATGCTCCTGAGTAACATGCTCTAGCTCTAGGCAATCCTGCTTTGGCAGGGGAGTTGGACTAGATGATCTCTATGGTCCCTT